CAGTGAAATTTGTCATCCTCTGTTTGGAAATCCCACTGTTTGCTGCAGACGAAAATGAGTGTATTTAGCGTGGGGAAAAGTAGTTTTTAGTTTTTTAGAATTGGATTCTGTTTATTTGAAGTGCGAAGATATTGTCAGGCTTGTATTTCAATATAACTTTTTTGATATTTATCTTCGGACTCTGTCATTGGCATTATGTTCAACTTTCCTCCACTTCTAGACATCATTGTATATGGTATAACAGCTCTGAAGTAGTAATTTTGATCGGGAAGGACTATAAACCTTTAAAATTGTGCTCCAATGGCTTTAGAGCGGCTTTGAAACCGAAAGTTGTGGAGTTTGGGTTGAAATTTCTTGCATTGAAAACCTTATGAGGCTGGACAAGAGAATTTGCCTTTTTTCCGTGATAGGGTGGAGAAGTAACTTTTTTTTGTGTGGGAGTCCTGAAGTAAAGCGGAATATCTGTTACTAAGTCCTGATAACTAACGGTAAAAAGTATTGTAAAACGGCAGCTATTTAGAAGTGGCACTTGACGTGTTGTGATGCTTATTTGTCTTTGAGGGAAACTTGAGTACTTTCATAATGTCATATAATGCTGGGGAAACGTTTATTTTTAATCACTCTCTGTTTGGCTGTTTATTTGGTGAACATACAAATGATGATATTTTTAGTGTGAATTCGACTCTTTATTTTGTGAAGGAGACTAGCTTAAGAAGATTAGGCTTGAAGTCCGATGAGTCTGAGACGTTGCCAAAGAAGAATTGGTTGTTAGGTGTGCTGACACGTATGGAATTATGTCAGATAAGGAAAACTAACAATAGGTAAGGCTGCACTTTGTTTACGTTAAAAAAAGGTTTTGAAGGATAAGGTGATTCAGGTTTTGTTTTTTCTGTTTTAATATAACTGTATTTCTTCAATTTTCAAATATTTTGACGATGGGGTTTTTTGCTTGCTCAGTTTTTTCGTTGTGATGGCCTAACTGTTTTTTGTTTTTCCTAATCTAACTGTTTTCAGATACAACTTAGCCGTTGGTACAAGGTTTTATCGCGTTGAGGTCGAACCGCTAACGATTAATTCGTCAACCTCATGTCGGCTGTAATCGTTAATTAGCAGTAAAGTTTTTGTTTGACAAAATACGATGGCAAGGAAAGTTTGTTACAGTCGTGGAAGATGATTTTTATTATTTTATGAGTGGCCTGTAAGTATTTATGCCGAATTATTTGGCCTTTTCAGGGTAAAGATTCTTCTATTATTGATCACTGTAAGTATTCAGTCTTCCAATTTGCTCAATTTTTTCTTGAAATCAGGTAATAGCTTGTTATATCTGGTTAGTGGAGTGTTTTAGTATTTTTTGAGCGTCATTTTAAAGTTTTTTAATTGTGTATTTGACATGTTGTAAGTTTATGTTGGAATAACTGGTCTTAAGGATTTATTGAAGCTTGAAAGCAGGTATTTTTTTAGCTCTACTGTGTATATTGAAGTACTTAAATTGGATTGGTTTCCTTCCTTTTATTAATGCTGAATTTCTTTTCTCTCAGAGAGGCAGGGTTGATTCAAGTAACTGTAGTACACGGTTCCGAAAGAGGGAAAATAATGAAATGCGAAAAGGCAGTTGTATGGTGCAAATTACGGTTTAAATTTTGAGCAAAAATTTGTAGCCTTCGTCCTCTAAAGTTTTTGGAGTACATAAAGGACCAAAAGTTTTAAATTTTCAGTTGTTGACAAGTCGATTTGTTTTCTAATCAAATGAGGCATTTTAAATACATTAATTGTGGCTCGTATACACATATTTGCATAGTTAGTTTCTTTCAGTTGCAGATTTATATTTTAGGCAGTAGTCGCCTTTGCAATTTTCCACTGTTTACTTGTTTTTCCTTTAGTTGTTGTTCTCAATGTGATGTTCCTGAGTGGAATTTTGTGTTGTTGTTTAAAGTTGTAAGGAAGTCGCAAAATCGTTTCTGTCCAGTAATAATAGATGTGTATATATTTTGACAAGTCGTCGGAAGTTCAGGTTCTAATTAACGGTACTGCATAGCAACAAGAAAGTGAAGGAAGATATTGAATTGTTGAGCAAAGTCTTCATGTAATTTCTTGTCGAGAGTATATAATAGCATCTTTGGGAGATGTAGTAAATTAGAGGTTACTATTTTAAAAATTTTTTAACAGATCTGACTGGCCTTTGCTGCTGCAGTTGTAGAAGATTTTTCAGGGCTGCAGTGTGTACTTAGGGAGTGAAATTTCGTAAAATATTTCCTTCACGTGGTTGGGCAATTTGGCTTCGTTTTTTGATTACAGTATCTTCCAAATTATCTGCGTGACTTGTTAAACTTTACTACAAATAAGTACTTTAATTTGAGTGTGAAGGCCATTCTCTGAGTTCACTGTTGGAAGCGGCTTGAAGGTGGTACGGAAAATGCTGAAAGTGTTAGTGGACTTGAAAAGCCGTTGTCGGGAAATTGTTGAAGGAGGGACTGTTGGAGACAGTAAAGATACTGCCGGCGATGCACTTGGAAGTTGTTCCAAAGAAAATTATTTTGATAGTTTTATTTTGTGTGATGCTCCAGTTTGTTCTCGTTTTCTGTGTTGTGAGATTTTGTTAGCGAAAACTGACTGGGGAGGTAAATTTTGGTTGTTTTTTACCTGTTTATTTTAGACCAGTGTACAGTTAATGGTTTAATTACTGTGTGGAGCAATCGATACAGTCCGTTAAACATCAAAGTACTTTGAACCTCCTATCTTTAAACAGTGCCAATAACTACTGGCTCTCAAGGATTTGGCGAAGTGTCAATTGTGGACTAAGGAGTGCTGATAGACAGTAGATAAGCGAACGTTTAAGTAGGATTGCAGTCTATTCGCCAGGTGTGTTGTAGTTGTGACTGTAGCAGGTGCTTGTAACGGAGATTTTGCTATGATTGCTGAGAATTGCGTATATCAACTTGAAATTTTTTCCTCTTGTATTAGTGATAATGTGGTTCTAGCAGCAAGCTTTAATTGGTAATAATTTTTTCTGAAGGATTGTATAATTAATTGGTTCTCAAAAGACCTCTGCTTTGTTATCTCGTCACTGTCTGAGTTTTAGGTTGGTCTAGGAAGTTAAACAGCAACTTTTGTAATTCAAATTTTTATTAAGCGGTTACAAATTGTGGGTGCAGTATATGGTAGTATTCAGAAAATTATCATAAAGGGATTAAAAGAGATCTAAAGTATTAGGACAGTTAGCGCGACCGCTAGGTCATCTCTTAAAAAACGTAAAGAATAGAATTAATAGGATACTGGGAACAAAGGGGTGGACAAATAAAGGAAGGGGTAGTTGGACAAGCAGATGATGAATTGAATTCAATTATGTCGAGTAGTTGCATTTTTCCTCATTGCATTTGTATGTCTTTGTTTCTTAGTTTATTAGAAGGGATTTCTACGTTAGCGGGAGTAGGGAATTGGTATTTGGAAATTAATTTATGCACAGTTGCTTATGATTTTTGCATATGCTTTTTATTAAAGTAATTTGCTAAATTGTTATCAGAAATTGTATAGAGAAAGGAGAGGTATAGGAATACGATTTGGATATAACAATTATGGTATACATTGAGCAAAAATAGATATAGAAAAACACTCATGTGATGTGGTTTGAATCTTCAGAAAGTTTTAAATAACTCTTATACAGAAGAATTATAGATAATCAACCAGAGAGAGTTCGTGTTGGATGTGTAATTCAGCCTTTAGAGAAAGGTTAATCTGTACATTTTTGAGTTTGCTACTCGGTGCTGGAGAATTTACATGCTTTACTTTCACATAATGTTATCAGATGAATTTTCTCGCTTTTGGAAAGTGTAGACGGACCAGTTACAGCTTCTAAAAATCTTTTATTAGGTTTGTTAAATTCCGGATGTTTCTTTGTAGAAATAAGAAGTGAAAAAGGAAGTTTACGTAATTAGGGGGTTGTAAATACTATGTAGTAGACAGTTGGAGGGAGGCTGGTTGGAGGAGCATTTGGGAAGAGCCTTCTGCAGGAAAAAGGTTTTAGAAGAATCTGTGCATAGCAGAGCGCTTCTAACTTTTTGTTTCTATCTTTAATGCTATATTACTGTTCTTTCTTCGTGTGTAGCGAATTCTTCGTTAGTAAGTTGCAGATTGGTGATGCAAGAAATAGTTATTAATTTTTTTTAATAATTGAAATTTGGTTTTATTGATGTGTATTTGCTGTGCTTGTATGACGGAGTATGATAAGTTTTTTTTCGTGCAAATTTCTATTTTTGTCTACTTCAACGAATTATCTATAGGAGGTGATGCGCTTAATCAAAGTGAAGCAAAATGCGAAATCTGCTGAGCAATTATTCCAGCTTGTTTTATTTTTGGATTTACCAGTAGTGTTTGAAATTGGTTAGTGTTATTTTTGATGTCATGAAAACTAGGTGCAAAAAAGAAAAGAAAAAGTTGTTGAACTGGATTAAGTGAGCCACAGCGTATTGCTGCTTTTTCTATGGTCTCTGAGTTTATATTCGTGAACATTTAGCCTGGTACTGACATGATCTATATGGGATGGCTGGTTCCCTTAATTTAGTCGTGCAATTTCCTTGACATATTTGTTCAAAGTTCAGAAGTTGATAGTTTTTGCGTTCAAATACGTTTTTAGTAATTATAAAAAACTGTGTTTTGCCTATAAAGTAGTAAACTCTTACTATTTTGAAAAAAAAAAAATGCAATTTAGCTTGTTCGTCATCTGTTTAGTGAAACAATTTTGCGGCTTCTGTGGAATTTAAATTGTAGGATTTTTTAATGTTAAGCATTAAATACCGAGAATCTTATTGTAATTTTGTTGATCTGTAATTCATTGGAATTTTTTAAGTGATAATAAGTGACTTAAAGTTAATTTTTACTGCGGAGGACTTAATGCAATAGAACCAGCAGTTTATGCTTATGAGCAATTAAAGTTGCAAATATATGCCGAAAAAAGTATTTTTAAAAGTCATTTATTATTATGCAGTAAGTTATTACTGATTACATATTTGTCGTGTACTATGTCACGCTTAAGACATTGCATTGCCGATTTCAATTGGGTGATTATTATTATTTTTTCATAATTATTCAACTTGAATATTCAAAGAGAGGAAGAATTAAAAAAAGTGGAAGGGATGAATGGACAGAAAAAAGGGAGAGAAAAAAAATGTTTCATTTTTTATAGTCATTAGTTTTCACATTTTTTATGATATCCTCTCCTTGTTTTTTGTTGTTTTACACTTTTCTTAACAAAAATTTTGTTCTCAAAATAATGGTCAATAAATAAACAAAAAACAAAAAACTGTTCCAGTAAAATCGCAATTTTTTTGTTGTTTGATAATTTAACTTTTTTGCGGTTATATTTCGCAAGTACTGATGAAATAAAATTTTGGTTTGATTGAGGATGTTGCTTAAAATGTTTGGTAGTATCAAAAAGTTTGAGAATCTTAGAAAAGTTGTTGTTGAGAAACTAAGGTGAGTTGTCGACATTTATTGTGAACTTTTGGGTGAGACGTTTTTTAGCAAAGACTACAAAAAAGCTTTATTTTTACTGGGTATGATGCTTTTTTTCTTTTTTTTTTTTGTTTTAAACTTATGAACATTGATTGGTATGTTGTTGAAAAAATTTCTATTGTGTTTATTTGAAGTCATTTTAATTTGTTTTTTTTTAGCTGCATTTTCAGATTATACGAAACAGATTGGTTCTATTAACCGCACTAATTTGCACAATAATTGGTTAGGGGGAAAGAGAAGAAATGATAAATTTGCTTTCCAAAATCAGGAAATTTATGGTGATCATCTTTTATATCGTCTAGCATGATTTTCAGTGGTTTAAAATTAAGAGAAATCTGTTTTTAATGTTGTTTGTATTTTGCGCTACTTTTTTGCAGATTATATCAACAAATCTCTGCCTATCTTTTGCAACTTTGTCAAGTTTGTTTTTTTCTTTGAAACTCAAACTGCGTTATCGTTCTGCTTATTTTATATTTTAATACTTTTTTTCTGTGGTTTTTTTTTTGAAATAATTATTTTGAGCAGGGAATTTTTTAGCGTCTTCATATATGCTATATGATAGTGCTGTAATATTTGGTTTACATGATTAGT